ACACATGTAATAATACTACCGTGCGCAAGGACTGTCTCTTATACACATCTAGATGTGTATAAGAGACAGACACAGCACATACTAAAGCTGGAAATTACGCGTTGTTACATATTTTGTGTTCCTGACAGAGTCAGGAGTCACTCTTTGTGACATTTCCGTGCTCACGGGCGTCAAGACGTGCGTGTACGCATGCGTAATTCTTTTAAAATGCTCAAAATTATTCTTTTTTTTAAAACTAATTACAGCATATGTTAGCATATTATGAAACTTTTCAATCTGCACCGCGCGCGCTTCCTGAGGGTCAAAGTACGGCGGATCACCGAATTCGTCCTCAGTGACGAGTTCGAATCTAGTTTTTTTTTAATTCTACATTCTGACAAATAACTGTTCGCACGATATCTCAAATTTGCCGAAAGCTACGCACAAAACGACTACAACAAACATTTGGCTTGGCCTGGAATAGTGACAATAAGCTTTGCAAGGTTATCAGTCACGTGTGACGTCATCTACGCGCATTTTTGTGTTTTTTACGCAATCATAACGCGCGCGTAGACGTGCGTCAAAATTTTAAAATGGTCGAAATCAATTTTTGACTAAATTAGAGCACGTTTTAAGCCATTTTGAGCATTTCTACATTTTAAAAATTTTCGGCACCGCGTGCGCATTTTTACGCGCGCGGCACGTACAGAAGTTAAACATATTGTTTTTTTAAATGTTTAGGTCCCTGACACTGTATTCACAATTTCCAATCTTTTATGGTCATTTATAGTCAATAGCAATGCCGTACGCGCGCATAGAACATAAGAGCACATGTGCGCGTTTTTTTCGACATACAGCAAAAATAGGCCAAAAACATGCCTATTTTCAATCAATTATAGCTCCTTAGAATGAAAGGTGACCCCCAATTTGTATTACATATTCTGGAAGCACATGAGTTGTACATATGATTTTATAGGTCATAATGGCTGATCGGATAATATGACGTCATCATATTGCCATCTGAATTCTACAAACTGAGTATTATCGATGACGTCATTTAAAAAAAATGCGCATTTGAGCGTATCTCGCTTATTCTTGGTCGATTGTCTTCCAACTTTAGAATGTTATAGCTGAGGCAATTCTCTTTCCTATATGTGACACTTTTTTACATTTTGATGACGTCATCATGGTCAAAATGTAGGGTTTTGCTTACCCCCTCATCTTTCTTTCGTCAAACATTCAAATCTAGTGTTTTTTTTGTCGGGATTGGAAAGGGAAGGGAGGGGGTAACTTCGATTTCGGGATTGGAAAAAGGAAGGGAGGGGTAATTAAGACTTTGATTTTTACTTTTTGTTAAGCTCATTTACTTTTACTTTTGATTTGTCATGTTTTGATTTTGTTTGTTTTCTTATATTTTTCTTGGACGCACCGTTTTCTACGTGTGCCACTGTTGTAAAAGTGTAGCTTCCAAATAAAGAATAAAGAATATACTAGATATAAAACAAACTGGAATAGACACCCAGACAGTGACATCGGTGAATACATAACCTCCTTGGTGGCGGTAGAAATCGTTGCTATATCCAAATAATACACAAAACAATTAAAGCATAATCATGAATCCGTAAAGAATAAAACAACAATACAGCGCAGAACCGCATGGCCGGACGCACTCCAAGTCAAAAAGTTTTCCTCCATTAGTGGAAAAGGAAGGGCGCCTTTTGCGTCTGGATATACTTAGCAACAGAAGGGCGCCCTGTACGTTGGGCACGAAGTATAGGAAACTTTGCATGGTTAAAATGAAGAGCGCCGCCTACGTTGGGCACGACTTCCGCCTCATTTTTACAATGCGAGAACTCTATCTTGTATTTCTAGTATCTTTGTTATACATCTATGCTATTATTACAGTATAAATAGATTACCAAAGACTAGCAGTAGTGTGTGTATATATAAGAGGTACACAACTGCTCTGCTGATTAATTCATAGGTCTATCTTCTGGTGATTTGAAGATGGTAAAACAGTATTCTCGTCCGAAAAACTTCGTAAAGAAACACTTTAAATTATCAGTTTAAAACAAGCAATTTTGTGTAATTGTAGCTACATACCCAACTTTCATTTTTATGTTATCAGGCCTATGTTGGCATTCAAAAACATGTTATGAAGAACCACAAATGCGTATTAAATTTTGAATGTTTGGATAAGAACCAGAGAGAAAACAATTACTATAAACAGGGAGAAGTTGAGAAGCTGATAAGTTTATAATGCTTACTATTTTTATCAATGTATTCATTTTTGTTTCATAGCCTACATTTTTTTTTGAATAGTATAATTCTGTAGTGATACTGAATAAGGCATAATTCTGTTCTCCCGATGTCATTTTAGAGAAAAATGCTCTTCATGTGATGACTGATTAAGGAAAGTATCATGGTTCTATCAAAACGGTGAAATGTTTTCAGCAATTTTTTTTTTCACGCGTCTTTTGCTTCTGATTCTCTTTCCAACCTATAATGATCTCATTCCTATTGCCAGCTCCCTTTACAATATGATAATACAGTACTGTACCTCCTTTCAATAATATTGAACCTCAGGTTATAAACTTTTGCAACCCTGTATGTAGGAAGTCTCCAAAGATGTACTTCAAATGAGATGAGGAACGGTTTAAGCGTGAACAAAATTCTTATTGCATTCTTTATGAACTTGCCCACACTACCATCTGGACGTACTTCTTTCTACAAGCGAATGTTAAGCATGTAGGTTATAATATCTAGGGCCACCAAGAGGGAAAACTGTAACAGGGGCAAGGGTTGGTGTGGCCCCCAGTTACGAGCGCTAAGCGCGAAAAAGATTGCGTTTTTTTGTTTTTGTTTGTTTTTTTTTTGGGGGGGGGGGGGGGGCCTGTCAAACTGAAGTGGTCCATTATTAAGGGAAAAGGAGGACCCATGCCATTAATGAGGGCCCATGATAGTATTTATTACTTTTGAAAAAAAATACCTGCAAATTTCATGGGCCCCTGGTGAGCTTGGGCCCCGGAGATCTCCCCCTACCCACCCCTCTCGGTGGCACTGGTTATATCAACACTAAAACAGATGTTGTGATTGCTCTAGTATTTTTTACACAAAATAATAACTTTTGCATTGTATGGTTAATTAAGACCCTCATCAGGGAATCTCTATAGCCACTAAACCTACTGGCAAATATCCCTCTCTGGGGTGAAGTGGAGGAGGAGACCTACTGGCAGGACTAATGAGCTGCTTCCTACGACCTTGTTGAGCACATACTTTTCTTTATAGAAGACATATTGATGATATATATATCAATAATGCTGTAAACTGAATTTACTGATATGATAGTAATTATCCATTAATTTAGGCTTTATAAACATCCGGGGTAAATACAATTTTCCTTTGGGTTTGTTATGTAGTACTTTGGATTGACATGGTTTTATTTCCTTCTTTAATTCAGATACAAACAATATCGCATTCAATGTGTAAGCTGCTGGTTCATACCACGAAAAGGGGGTAAAGCTAACGCTAAGTGCTATCGATGTGGAAATCTTCTTTGTCTAGCACTTCTTGGAAGAAGAAATCATGCATTGCACCACATATCACATAACTGAATAAACTTCAAATTAACCACTTGCAGTTTACAAACTAAAAATGTATCATTGGAGAAATTACATTTAGAAGTGATTTGTATAGTCGGTACTTACCAATTTTAACTGTATTTCTTTTGAACCTATTATTTAAACCATTTCAAAAAGAAAGCTACAGAGAATGGCTGTACCAAAAGTTAATTTCACACCTTATTTATGGACAGTTAAACATTTTACCTACTTGAACATACAACTTCTGGTATCAATTATAATTGAAGCAGTCACCAGATTCTCCTGGTGCTATTTTTGAATAATCTTGAGGAACACCTGCACATTTGCAGGGGTCTCTGGTTGAGAAAATGCCACCTCTTGCAATTCCCGTAAGCCAGGAAAAATTATAACCATCTTCATATCAATAATGGATTACGATTTGAGAACTCTGCATATGTTAAAATGTGAAATAAAGGAAAGTTGTATTACATAGATGCAAGATTTTATATTTTTTGTTGACTTTATATTGGAGTTGTACCTTTTTGGTACAACTTCCAAGCATCAGTACAATCATTGTTTCTTTTTAGTGTAATTTATTGCCACTGTCTTTTAGACATCAAATGTTAATTTTAAAATCTAAAGAAAGCACAGTTTTTATTATGTTTGCTCTTGTTGCTTTGTTATTTTCAAGTATTGTTTTTAAAATTTATCATGTCAAGGGAGACTTTTAATATGTAAAACCCACCTGGTAAATATCTGTATCATTATACTTTCTTTATAAAATATATTAACAAAAATGATTAAAACAAAATCTAAATCATATCATGGCTCATTTCTACTCTCCATCCAACTTTGTGTAATTGTGATTAGCAAAGACAAAAATAGATGGAAATAATTATTACAATTTTAATTTTATTTGGTGCAACGCTACAAAAAGATTAAAATGAATTTTGCTAAAAAATACTGTAGTATTAAAAATTTAGTTTGTCTGTATAGCATGGCATGATACTTGAAATGACATAATACTGTTTTAAGTAACAAGCCAGAAAAAAGTGAATTAACTAAAACTGTACATTTCATGTACAAGTACTCCTCAAAACTATAAATGTTGAAGCATATATACATATAGGTGCATACAATTAGCCAATTATGGGATATAAAACAAATGTAAATGTATATTTACATTACCTACAGCTAAATAAAAAATCTAAAAGCACTGCATTGTTGCCAAGCCAGGAATGTACAACTGAGAGAGCACAAGTTCAAGAGTGAAAAAGATGTCTGGGTTCATGGGACAGAAAGTAAATGTTTGCTTATGGCAAAGAACACGTGGAATGAATATGCTAACATGAATACCTTATCCTATATCTAATTCACACAGGAAAAGACAGTCATCAGTACATGTCCATAATGCACAGGGCAAATTGCGCCTACACCAGCAATTTCGGTGGGAAAATTTCGGTGGGAATTATTCAGGAAGTCTTATTCCCATCTTGCCATAGTTCATAATTCTGTATTAAAGTTAATGGTACAGTATAATATAATATCTAGAAATGAATACATTATTATTATGCTTTGGTGGAATTATACAACTTCAAGAATTCACTTTTAGATCTTCCCCACACTCCAGATCGGGAAGTCTTGTAACCTTTTGTTTCATGTTCATTTAATATATTTTGAATACAGACATATTCCCATCTCTCCACAGTTTATAATTCTGGATTAATGTTAATGGTACAGTATATAATATCTAGAAATGAATACATTAATTATTATGCTTTTGTGGGTTTATATAACTTCAAGGCCTTCCCCACTACACTCCAGAATAGATAGCTAATAATGTACAAATGTAATATTTATAGTATGAAAAAGAAATTACATTGTTTCATTGTCTTTGCTTTAAATCGGAATGTACTTCCTCTCTCCCTTTCATACTTTTTGTTCTCCAACACAAAAAACAGATTTGTGATTTTTCCACTAGTCTTTGACCACAATGGCATTTGGGTAATTAATTAATTTATGGTCATATATTAAGAATTATACTTTATTTACATGATGAATAACATTTAATTTTTGTGAGAGCTTGTGCAATAAACTGATATATTTCAGTTCCTGGTATTTACACTAGACAAATTCTTCACAAGTGTTTTCTAGTTGTTAAGATTATAACGACATATCATAAACTTGCGAATTGAGTATACCACAGAGTAACACAATTTGTTGTAGATTTTGTCAAACATCTGTTTGTTCAGTTGTATCTACCTTAGCAGTTCCTGTTGAGCGTGTTTTTGATGATGATGCAACAGAACTCTCTGACATGGCCTTTTCATTGTTCAGAGTTACTTTCATTGTCTGCGCTTTAAAAGTAGAACTGTGGCTTTTTGAGCTGGAACTGTAGTGAGACTGAATTGGTGATGCTGGTCCCAGTAATGGTGCTGTACTTACATCATTCTCTATCGTAAATAGATGTGTTCCATTATGATTTGCAGTTGGCATGCCATCCCAGGAACGCAACTTTGCACCGAGGGCTTTGAACGATGGACGTCGTAAAGGAACTTCCTGCCAACATTCAGTCATGAGTGCATACATATGAGGAGGGCACCCACTTGGACATGGCAAGATATGACGTGTGCGTACCATCTCAATAACTTCTTGGTTTGTGTATCCAAAAAATGGTTGTAAACCACAACTGTACATTTCCCATAAAACAACACCAAATGCCCACACATCACTCTCTGTTGAAAAGCTACCATAAAGAATGGCCTCTGGAGACATCCACCTGATTGGAAGTAAAGCTTGACCCTGCATATTGTAATAATCAGATGAATAAATATCTCTTGATAGACCAAAATCTGTAATTTTGATGATCAAGTTTTCACCAACAAGGCAATTTCGTGTGGCCAAGTCTCGGTGTACAAATCCTAAATTTGAAAGATATTCCATGCCAGCAGCAATCTGGATGGCCATGTTTTGAAAATCAGCTTGATCAAGTGAAGACATAGTATCATCATCTGCACTTCCAAATCCAACGTCAGAATTGGGTGAGTGCCGACAGAGAAATTCATGAAGATCACCCTGATTGACATACTCAAATACCATGCACATTGGCTGACTACGCATAGCAACACCTAACAGTGATATTATATTTGGGTGTTTGAGAGAAGCCATAACTTCAGCTTCATGGTAAAAATCTTCTTGCATTTTAGGAGTTGTGTTGGCCGCGAGAGTTTTTAGCGCTACAGGTGTGACACTGTATTGATTTTCATAGCCTATAACGTCACCTCGATATACCTTGCCAAAAGTACCTTGCCCGAGAACCTCATGGAACTTGAGAGCAGCTAATGGAAAATCATGCAACTGCAAAAAAAAAAAAAAAAAAAAAATTTAGAGCAATTTTTCCTGAACCTAGTGATTGAAAAGCAATCTATTTTTGCCAGCAAATGTCACACCAACATAGCTTTACTTACCACAGGCTTCTGTTGCAGAGCAACTACTGCCATTGCAGGTGGATTGGTTTGTAATGCCCGTGACTGCCGCATACAGAAACATATGCACATACAGACAAATATTAATATCATCAATGCTATTGCTGGTATCAAAATGTACAGAATATGTGTTCCATTACTTGATTCCCTTGATGGTATAGCTAAAAAAAAAAACATAAAAAAAAAAAGCAATAACAATTAAAAATACATTTTTAAACAGATATTATTTGCTCGAATGGCCATGCAGATTGATGCTGGCAGGGAAATTTAGGATTTGATTAAAGATTTAAAACATCTATTAATTTTGTCCTCAAAAAGGACATTCATTGCTCGTGATGTCAGGGGCAGATCCAGAGGAAAAAAAGGAAGTACACCTACATGTATGAGTTCAGTGGCAGATCCTGCAGTGGATGAAAAGAGAGCTCAGTTATTTTGTCGCTCACATCACGAACTAACACAATCAAAGTAGATTGTGTTAGTTTGTGAAATCACAGTAGCGCGTCAAAACGAGCGCGTATTGGTTGTCAATCAATTTTGTATTCTTTACTACACAAAAAGTCCTTAACAACAACAGCGAGTATTTTGACGCGCTTTTTTGATTTCACGAACTAACACAATTGAATTTAATTGTGTTAGTTCGTGATGTGAGCGACGATTTTATCACTTATTTTAAATTTTCTATTGACTGACGATGAACACAATGATGCTGATGCTGATTTATTCCAGCGATTTCATAAATCGGGATAAAAAATAGAGCAACAAACGGAGACCAAAGATGGGTTCAGCAAATTATTACAGAATGTAATACAGTACACAGCTAGAACAGCTAATAATGCACCATGTTTGAAAATGTCTTTTTAAAAATTAGTGCTTTTTTCCTGTTTGTTCTTTTATAGGACTAAATTTTTTTAAATCACATCAAAACACAGAGCTATAAAATGCTAGTTGTGTATGTGATGAGTTGTGTCAACACTGAGAAGCTCCACCAACATATGAACACTTAGGAACACTGATATGATACATATAAAAATAATGAGGGTTATACACAAAATTAAGAAAGAAAAATTAACACTAACTGCATTTTGTGACATCACAGAGCTCTGGTTGAAAGTTTGAGTTCACAGGGTAGCACCAAGGGCCTGCTAATCGCCTGCCTGGGTTACGGCAATAGTTGTGTCCTCCAGCCAGCTCTGGATACTTTCCTGGACTTAAATGCTGTGGTTGCTGCAAACAAATGGAATCTCTTTTTTTAATTAGAAGATGGATTATAGTAGCATTTAAATAAATACTTTTAAAATAATAATTTAATTAAGTATTTTAGCAAAAACAATATGGATGTTGTTATTATCTGCACTGGGAAATAAATGGAGTTGTATGGAATCTTACATTGATGGCAGCTAAAATTGTCTTTGGGCAAGAAATTTTATCTACTTTAGATATACTTGCGAAAAGGCTGTCATTAATGATAATATTTAGATAATCATTCTATGTTGAGCCCAGCAGGCCAAATAAGTACAGGTAATGCCATTATACAAGATTATATTCGTTTTTTCACTATAATTTTCAAAAAACCTTTGCAAATAACAGACAAATCTTTTAAAATAAAGAACAATTGCAAGCAAATAATTCTGTTGACACAAGCAATTAAAATAAAGAATATGATAAAAATTGGATTATAGAGTACTGCTAAAATGTTCTGATAGATGTAGACATTTCTTTAATATTCATCATTATTAAAACTTATTTTGACTTATATTTTTGGGTTAACATTTGAAGGTTAACATGATCACTTACACAATATATTCTGCTATGTAGTGAACGTACACCATATTATATCAGTGTTACTCACTAAGTGGTGCATTCAGTTACCTATACTGAATATTACTCTACTACCTTCCACTGTACTGTACCAATGAAATTTAAGTAATTAATTCTTGCATGTGTTGCTTTTATAGTAGTGTGACAACTCCTCATTCAATAATTTGTAGATTTGTGTTAGTGTAAAATTGTTACTTTACGATATTTTAATTGACATAAATAGGCACTTAAAAAATGTGATATATTTCTTCTATGTAAGTGAGTAAAATACTGCGGCACAATAAAACAATTACAAAGCATGTAACCAATTTTAATAACCTTAAATTCACTTCCACTAACCTGATCAGTATTCCAAGGCAAGCACTCTAGACCAGACCGTGTTGTATTCATGCGTCCTAAGTAGTTCTCACCACTATTGTTATAACAAGAATCATCTATGATATAAAATATTAAATAGAAAATGTTCATAGTCTATTTTGTTTTGATTCCATTCAAAAAGGTTCAATGACTAAAATGTAATATATATTGCACTGAATAAATCAATTTTAAACAATTAATATAATTTGTTAGTTAACACTATAAAAAATACAGAAAAAGAAAAGAAATTATAATATAATATATTCTACTAAAGATGAATAAAAATTCAAATATCATACTTCGTATCACTTTAACATGAGGAATTCCAATTCTGATGCAATTAGCACTTTCTTTAGATCCAGCAATTGGCAGAGATTTGCATTCTGGTATGAAGTCCGTACCGGCCACTGCATCATACTCTTGTCTGCAGGTTGCTTTCTCAAGAATCTCGCATTCATCTCGACAGATTTCTCGGGGCTGACTACTCTCGTCACAGTAGGGAAATGTGTAATGGCAAAGCGAGGGAATGACATAGCTGGAGCAGTCGCGACTTAACTCTTTGGATTTGAAGAGAATGGAGAAGACAGCTGTCAAACTTCTATCCTTATCCGTTAATGTGAGCTCTTGCTCAACGAACACTGTCTTGTTATTCAGAAACTTTGAACATGTGGCTCCATTGTACACCTGGCACATTCCAGAGTCAGGATTTCTACAGAAATTAATTGAATAAACTACTGATAACAAAGAAACATAGATGCATTAATAACAGGATATAACAATAAAATAGACTCCTGATAGGAGCATGGTACTGCAGCAAAAAGTATAGTCTGCAGAAACTAGTTTTGCAAGGACTGGCAAGTTCAATAGCGGTCGCTATATACACCACTTTCCGAGTAACTAGATGGCATTGCCAATACTAAGCTGTGTCCACACTATCCAATTGTATGTGACAAGGCGCACTACTGGTCCCTTAATTCACGAGTTCCATTGGTTGCCAGTTCCGGAGAGAATCCAATTCAAAATTTTATTGAATGCGCACAGTTGTATGGATCTGCTCCCGCTTATTTAAAAGATCTTATCCACAGATTTGATTGCCGTCATAGTGGATTAAGGTCATCTGCTGATGTCACGAGACTTGTTGTTCCTAACATCAACCTCCCAGTTAGCATCCATGAATCCGACAACTTGGTTGATTTTAAAAACGTTTAGAAACCCATTTGTTTCCGAAAATTTAGGTTTGTTTTTGGAATTTTTACTTCATATCTGTTGTCATTTCTGGTACATTTTTAGATATTGCCATTTTAACCCTTATTTAATGATTTGCTTTTGCCTTTTACAGTGTGTGTGTGTGTGTGTGAAAGGGTGCCTAATAAAAATTATTATTATTATTATTATTATTATTATTATTATTAAGTAAATTGATATAATTTGGGTGTAATATGACATCACCATGTTCACATGGGGTACATCACACAAATTTGTCAAAAAACATGATCATTTTCATTTCCATTTCTGAGCATATACTAATTTTATACAGTGTCTGGTATATTTTGTGTCTCGTTTTACATTGCAATTAGCATTTTGATACTCGGCTAGCTCTAAACATACACAACAAACCTAACAAACCTCACTCTACAGAGTTGGTACACAAATGAAGTGTAGACTACTGTAGGCAAGGCATACGGGTATGAGACTTATAAAAGAACTGGAAAGAAAAGGCAACGTTGAAATACAACCCCCTCGTAATTACTCTACAACAATAAGTCTGCGTTTTATCTTTTAGCCAAGGACTTTCCCTGCACCACGACTACAGATAGGCTCACTTCGATCATGTTAAACTTTCCATCACTCCCACCACCTATTTACTCCTTCCAGCAGTACAAGGTCATAACTTAAATACCACTTGGAAATTGAAGTTAAAATTTTTTTGACATATCAAGGTATTTTTAGAATTTTTAAAAGGGAAATCCAAGGGGGTCACAAGGGGAACTTTGAAAGTCCTGGTTGATTTGAGCTGAAATGCACCATAAGTATTTATATTTTTCGGGTGAATTCTATGTAGAAACAGTGTAAACTTACCCATCCTTTGGTGGTTCTTGAACTGTGAATGAAACATTTATTAAAAAATGAAATAGATCATGGTAATTATACAATAATAATATAATCATTATTGTTTGTATTAGGAATATAGAAACTAATTCCAAACACTGATAACTATATAAACAAGCAGATAATGAGATATTCTACTTCCTACCATGGAAGTTCCCACCAGCTGCTGCTCAGGTCTATACTAGGAATATAGTATATATTCACAGTACAAATGGTTTTTACAATCCACAACTTGTACAATTAATCTATCACAAAAAATTACAGTTTTTAAAGGATTATCTTAGCATGCCACCTCATTGTTATTAACAACGTTTATATAAACACATACAGTACATTAAATTGACGATGTATTCATTGAACTTCTTTAATATGATCCACTGTTGAAAATATATTGGGTCATCACAAATGTATGACGGCCCACAAGGGACCCACTGCAAACAAAAAGAAATGCTGCAGCATTTCTTTTTTGTTTGCAGCATTTCTTTTTGTTTCCAGTGTGTCCCTTGTGGGCCATCGTACAAATGAACGATAATGTAAATTAAAACCAAATTTGTAATATTGTATTATTTTTCTTAATGAGAAAATACACTCGCATTCTCTGATATATTGGTTATAAAAAACATCAAATTAAATGATGCATCTCCATGCTTTGGAACAAACAGAAAATAGTAAAAAGATTGTAAGGTTATTGCAGGTAGTACTAATGTTGATAGTAATTCAATATTTAGATGCATATGATGAACATGGTTATATTATAATCAATAACATGCTGTATAGCTTACCAATTCTAACATACAAGATGCCAGTAACTGAACGTCTCCCAACAAGATTTTCTGCATCACAACGATAATACCCAATGTCTGTGGTTTCCACATTCTTGATAGACAACCTTGAGCCCCACTCAAAATCTTGGATTTTAATGCGTCGATCACTTTGATGTTCAATTGGGGCATCGTTTTTGAACCACTGGTAGGATAGAGGTGGGTAACCTTGAATAGTGCATTTCAATGTTGCTTTGTCAGCAGTGTTCAGGGTTGTGTTTTCCATAAAACCTACTATATGAATGTAATTCCTAAGAAATACATAAAAACACATAAAAGTAAAGTTTATTTTCATGTTTTGGTACGTAATACCATTAAGTTATTTTTAAGAATGCATGCTAGTGTTAACTACATGAAATATAACTCAGTCTAATGTAGAATTACAAGTTATGAAATATGATTGGTAGCCAATCATGCAAGATTTCTGGTCAGGTCTTTTACCAAAAGTAGCTTTTAAAGATTTTAACATTTCAATTTCAATGTAAATTTATCTTTACAGCAACTAGATCAAATATATACATCAATAGTATAAAAACATCACAAAAAATGTGGTTGAACTAGGTTTACTGTCAAAAATAAGGCCTATAGTTCAATCCACTGTACATTAGAAATTTAAATCGGTTTAGTAATTTTTTTTAACTTTTGAATTTTATATTAAAAACCAAAACAAGAATTTTCAGGGTAAATTTCTACTTGTTTTTAATGCTTGTTTTTGATATTACTGTTTCATTGTTTTGAAGTCTATTAAATAATTCATTTCTTCTGTCATTATTATGTAGAGGGCTCCAGCCTAAGAAGGTTCTCCCTCTATAAAGATTGTGGAAATTAAAAAAAAAATGTAAATTCAATCAATCAATCAATCAATGGATTTTACAAAAACAACTTGCCTCTGAATATCATTTAATAAATAAGATTTAAAAAGCAAAGTCTCTGTTCTCTGTCTGTCCCCCTTTTCACCCCTTCTCATTGCTTGTACATTTATTACTTCTGCTTCTTTAATTTACCTCATTTTCTTGTTTGTATAATAAACTAGATTTTACATTTTTATCGACAAATTTTTATGTTAATTTCTGTATATATTTTGTAAATGTCAATTTTAATATTGTTAATTATATAATATGTTTGTTGGATAGAATAAATATACCTCAATATAATTTGCATAGTGGTTTCATTCAAGTTTTAGACACTCATCATGAATTTATAAGCAGACTTACTGATTTACTGGTGGTCTCCAAGATGTTACATCTGTAAAACAATTAGAATTATTAAAACAATAACTATAAAAGATGTTAAATGCTAACAACAACTATAAAAGGATGTTAAATGCTTGAGCTACATCACATAGATGGTTCTAAAAAACTGTCATTTTGATGAGACTGCTTGACTTAGTGGCAGCCTAGGTTAGCTTGTGTGTTGCTTCTCACACTTTACCACAGTTGAAAGCAATCTATGCATAAACATTGCAAAATCTTGCAATCGTCACATTGAGTTTTCCATGGAATGTTTGCAGTGATAGCAAAGGCACAGAAAAAAAATACAAAAGAACATCAGGATGGCTGGTTTTCTCCCTGTGATACTATCCCTGTCAGGGTTTTGTTTTTGTTCATGAGAAAAAAACCTGCCAGTTGACAGGAATTGAATCCAGGACCCTGAGAATTAAAAGCAATCATTATTTACCAGTTTTCAGCTTCATAGATATTTTTCATAGTGATTTCAACTTACCAAATCAATCAGAAAATTGATTATCTAAATGATGCCAATAAAAAGGAGAGCAAGGTTAGTAAGCACAGTGGTAAGAGATTTAAATTTGGTCAGTGATGGACTATATGTTTAAAAGAGAACTAGCAAAATGATTTTTTGTTTTAGAGGAGATTTTTGATATGCCATTAATAATAGAATCAACATTAAAATCGTTATTTGGCAATTGTTTATGAAGTTACAGGCCATTATATACGATTTTACCGTGACGTCACTGGCGAAAAAAAGTAACAAAAGATTGTGTATATAGCGCCGCGTAGGGTATCCATCTCGTACGATCTTTGCGTGCATGCTGTAACCATGGTTGTTGTAACTTGCATATCAAGTCATAGGCCTATAACTGCATAAGCCGTTGTCAACTTGCATATCAAGTCATAGGCCTATAACTGCATAAGCCGTTGTCAACAAATGATTTACAACCATGGTTACAGCATGCACGCAAATATCGTATGCGGCGGATACCCTACGAGGTTTTATTTGCACGATCTTTTGTTACATTTTTCGCCAGTGACGTCACGATTAAATAGTATATAATGGCCTATAGCTTCATAAGAAATTGCCAAAAAACGATTTTAAGGTTTATTCTATTATTAATGGCATATTAAAATTCCCCTCTAGAAAAAAAAATCATTTTGCTAGTTCTCTTTTAAGGTCTGCCGACGCCATACTTGCTTATGTGTATGTAACACACTTTGATTAAAATACCTTGTCCTTCAGATGAGAATATTACTGTATTAATTCGTATAATGGCCCTGGGTGTTTATTGTTGAGAAGGGTTTTTAAGGGTGTTTATTCAAGGGAGGCATTAATTTATTTTGGTGTAAAATGGATATGTGTACTCAAATAAATGCCCCTTAATTTCACTGTAAATGTGGATACAATACATACTTATTGTCAAAATGTCTTACTCTATGTTCATAAAGACTTGCTGATCCCAATCAAATTAGATAAAAATGTAATTCTACTGGTATAGAACATGAATTTTTATTCGAGGAGAGTGTTTCTTTGTGTTGGCGTTTCTTGAAATAAATACGGTAAGTCACTGGTCATGTGTGCATAATAGCATACACGCAAAAAAGAACTTGGTACATTATTTGAAAAGAGAAGAGTATTGTCTCCCTGTGTACTAACCATGGTAAGTGCAGCAATAGTAGCTGCCATGGGACCTCTGGGGCCTAATTCAGATTTAATTGAGATTCACCAAGGACCATGTAATAGTAGTAGTACTGTAGCAGAAGCACTGTAGTAGTAGTAGTAGTAGTAGAAGTAGTAGTAGTAGTAGCAGTAGTAGTAGCAGTAGTAGTAGCAGTAGTAGCAATAGCAATAATAATAATAATAATAATAATAATAATAATAATAATAATAATAATAATAATAATAAAGGACCATGTAATAGTAGAAGCACTGTAGTAGTAGTAGTAGCAATAATAATAATAATAATAATAATAATAATAATAATAATAATAATAATAATAATAATAATAATAATAATAACAATAACAATATCTTTAAGGTACTTTCTGCAGACTTTATTCACATCTAATACAAAAATACATTGGTTTTATGTATAACAATCATTTTACTGCATTATGTTTGTAAAAAGCACTATTTTGCATAATTGGCACCAATCCAATAAAACATCTCATTACAATAGTCTAATATAAGGAAGATAGTAGATTGTACAGTGGGCTAGCTGCAAGCAGCTATGGAACCCTGTTCACGCAACAATGCTTTGATGAACAAAATGCATCGGATAACTATTGCACTGGGTAATAAAATGCACCGGGTAACAAAATGCATCGATGAATAAAATGCATCAAAATGCACCGGGTAATAAAATTAGATGAGCCGGGTAATACAATGCACCGGGTAACAAAATTCATCGATAGATAAAATGCCCCGGGTAATAAAAGGCACTGACGAACAAAATGCACCGGGTAATAAAATGAACCGGGTAATGCACCGGGTAACAAAATAGAATTGATGAATAAAATGCACGATAAATAAAGTGCACTGGGTAACAAAATGCACCGGGTAACAAAGCATCGATTAAATCCATAAATTCTTTGATATAAACCAGCCCTCTCACCAGGATTTTTTTAAAGAGTGGCGGAATTTCTGAAAATGGTGTCCAAAAAAATGCATAGGGTTGTGAGCAAAATTTTAAAGGGTGGATACATTTTTGATACTACTTATGGTGTCGTATATGACCCTGAATGACCTGTGTCATGTAAATGTTATTTACTCGACACATTTAATTTAATTTATTAAAAATGTGTTTTTCATAAAAACGGAAACAATTCATCAAAAATAATACATACAAGATGGAGTCTGCTATACAAATATGTGTACACTAAGTGTTGATGTGGATAAAAATTTAAACTCCCCACCAAAAATTTCCCAGAAAAAAATCCCCCATCTTGGTTCAATCTCCAATAGGTCGAGTGTGTGTATTCAGAAGCTATAAATTTAGATGTTATAATTTTGTAACCATGTCAAGTGCATGTTTGCTGTTCTGTTAATAATTATGATACTTTGACATGGTAACTATTAGCTGTGTATTAAGATAGTTTTTAAAATAATAGGCACCAAATAAAACACTGTTACAATATTCCTACTACATTTTATCACGTATGATTTACGGTAATTCACAGGAAATTCGCGGTTGGGCTTGCATTGAAGGCGGTGCCTAACGATATATGATTATACAAGTAACATTCCCCATCTATGTGTTAACCAAGTGGACTGGCCAAAAAATGCTAAATGACTAGGCCTATTCTTATGTGAATTTTTTCAATTTTCAGATGTTCATATACAATAATGCAACTTTTAAATGTCCCTCACTTTACCCACCTCACTACAACAAGCAAATTTAAAGTGACTTTACTCCATGCTAAATAAAATTCACTTGTTTTTGAAATTGCTTATATTTTTCATTGATGCCTTTTGTCCCAGTGCATTTTCTTACCTGGGGCAATTTGTTCATTGATGCATTTTATTACCCGGTGCATCGTATTACCTGGTGCATTTTGCTACCCGGTGCACTTTCCGATGCATTTGTTCATTGAAGCATTGCTGCGTGAACGGCGTTCCATATGTAGCAGTGTTAAAACTAGCACCTGATTCCCCATGTCCTGTCTACACATGGCACAGGACATTTTCTCATTGAATTTATTATTAGCTTTGAAGAGAATAAAGTTTATTGTAAATTATATCTTAATCATGCTTCAAGTATTGCATATTGCAAATTTTTAGTATGACAGTAAACAATGTTTGGAATTGTGATGATTAGCTAAATCTGCGGTAGCATCCTAATCACAAAGACTGTGAAATATGTTACTGGTTATCTTACAGTTTTTTTTAAGGTTTGATGCGTGAGACTCATAAAGGTTTGATGTCCCAAGCTTCACAATATTAAGTTGGATCTGCTTGTGTTATGTGTGCTGTATAGCAATAGGCCAGTGTTGTGAGCGGTTGCGTGGCAGGTTGCGAACATCAGCATTTGTCATGGTTTAAATGTTCATCACTATAAGCTAGATGCATCACAATGCTCATTCATTGATGTGTAAAGCAAGTAAGCCTCTTTTTGCCATAATTGTGACACACCTTTAAAGATACAAGAGCTTAAGGTACACCTGCCAACTCTCACACATAATGCTTGAGTCTCGCATGTGTGCGTCCACTTTCTACATCTAATGCCTACATTGTATTATCTCACGCATCATAACAATTTCATAAGATAAAATGCATTGGCCGATTATAACTTAAAATTCATCAAAATGAAGGTAATGCATCATTAAAATGTGAAAACGGACCAAAATCAGTAGCAGTTCCGCCACTACAAAAATAAAAAAAATTTAAAAAAAGGCGGCGCTCTATTTTGTGATTTTTACATACCGTAGATGGCGCCATTTCCATTTTTTGAGTCTCGTGTATCAGACAGAGTTAGATATCTAATATTCTAGCCTATATAAACGATGATGAACGGTCGGGAATTGAGAAGCGCATTGTGTTGTGAAAAGAAGACTTAATTTTACTTGTTTTTTTCATTATATTTTTGTTTCCGTATTGCCTCATCACGTAAGTCCACATTTGATGTGACAACATACACAGCAATCAGTTTGAGGAGGTGTATTGGAGATGAGCAAAGCTTCACAAGTCTAACTTTACATCGAAATAGCGAGGCTTGGAAGTCAGTCACAAGTATAACCAATGAATGGAAATTATACCTTTTATATCCTTGTTTACTTTGTAACCTTTATCCATGCATTTGTTACATATGTACTGATTCATAATTGAAGTGAGCCGCCAATACATGCAAATAAAAAGTTTATAAACTATTGTGATTTTGGCACATTTGTTTTGGCCATCGGATTTTTGCCAGGCACAAATGGCCCACTCTAGATATTCATGAGAGGAGTGCATTGAAATCTAACGATTCAAAGCAAAATATAAGGAACAGTAGACAGCACATGATGATGATCACCAGAAAAAATGATGATTATATTATCATAAAACAGAAATTGCAAAAACAAGCCTTTGTGTATACAGTACACTTTTTCACATGAATAAACGTACTGTGATCGATGCAAGGTGGAACTCAAAAATATAATTTTACTTTCAGTTATATGCTGGAAATTATGGTGTATCTTTGAATAAACCAATCAAGTCAAGACTGGTTTTTTGTCTCTAATGACTCCATAGGGAGATATTTAAAAAAATTGTAAATGACAACTTTAATGGATTTCATTTAAAGCAAAAAGGAAAGGGTAGGGAGACTACAGAGTGGATTTAAGAAAAAGAGTGAATTTATCTCACCTTTCTGTTTGTGTGCTCACTATGCCTTAAAAAAATAAAATATAATTTTTGTTAAAACATTGATAATAAAATTGCGTAAATGGAACAAAAGGAACACCTTAAAAACATGAAGTCAAGAAAAATATAAAACTACATTCAGCAACCATGTTTGGGTCATGAAGGTTTTTTGAAGTCATCGTGTCGTATCTGGATCTTCAAAAAAATATAATTGCCTGAATATAGTGTTATAAACATACAACAAATCAGAAGATAGATTCCTATGATCTTTGCTTAAACTGAAAAAAAACCCCAAAAAAACAAACAAACAAACCCTTGTTTCCATTTACCTTTCAACTGCAAGACAATTTCATAAATCAAGAATATACCTCAGAAATACAAAAATTGACTTTGTAAAAAACATACATTTTGGTGTTTTATAGAACCATAAACATGTATTTACAAATTAAACATAATTTCCAACTAAATAACAAATGTTGCGCCATCATGTTAACATCCATTTCTGTCATAACCAAATTAAAACATTACCAACGTTTGTTAAAACAAATTGGTAAATTTTAAACAATAAGTTACTTTTCTGTAATGGCGACTCTCTTCTTCTAATAATGATTGAAAATTTTTTCTACCTTCTTTTTTATGATTGCTTTAATTATCGTTTAGTTTATTTGTTGCCTAATAAATAAAATTAATTCAATTCAGTCAATTACATCAAGAATAATAGATCTTTTAACACTACGGCCAACCCCTATATAGGAGACACCTACTGTAAAACGGGTGTCCCCTGAACAAGGGTTTGCCTTAGTGTTATAAGATATACAATTCTTTCCCTAGTTTGAGGCTGAAAATGTCAACTTAATAGGGATGTCCCAAAGGAGAGGTTCTACTATAAGAGTTTCTCGGCTTTCTCTAGCATAACAATGAAAGTTCAATGAAGGTAAATTTGAAAAATGGGTCACAAAAAGTTGTGTTTTTAATGGGGTTTTTGGCCCTTAAGAGGTAAAAGTTGCCAACTATAGATATAAAAATTAAAAATAAGGCACACTTAAATAAAATTTTATTTTACTTAAAACCAAATCATTTTTAATTATCTAAAATGTAAAAGATGCTTCAACTGGACGGACCACCATCACAAAAAAATTGTTTTAATAAAATAAATACATTTATCTAGAATTTACTTCATCAAATCACAGTTGTTACTCCATTTTTTCACACTTCTTGTGAATGCCTTATTACTGCCGCCAATTAATGATCTACAAAATATCATTCCAGTACATCACTTACTTGCATCCACTGACAATATGGCTATTGATTCCACACGTCCAGCATCATTGCTGGCACTACATTTCACAGTTCCTTCATCTATAATATCAATATTTTTTACAGTAAGACGTGAACCCCAAGCATAAGAACGGATGACAAATGTTCCAGTGTCTTGTATTAAATACTGATTGTTCTTGTACCAGGAGAATTCTGGCTGTGGTATTCCAGTAGCTCGGCAATGGAACTGAGCTCGCCCGCCAACACGTACTGTAACATTGTTCAAAGGGCGATCCATGTGAATATACTGCGATGTAATACTTGGACTAAAAAGAAAAAAATAGAAAAAACTTCGTGCAATAACAATTACATTTTAACAACCAACATAGGAAAACTCTGTCACATACACACTGTTGAACACCTACAAATCCGGACCTCATCGCTTCCTGTAATATTTGATGACAAGAACCCGTCTGCAAATTTTTGGCAGTGGTCTCAGTGGATCATCATTAAAAACAATACGTTGGGCACGCTTACTTGCTTTGTATTCTTCATGGATTTGTGTTAATATCTGATTATCTATACCCCGGTACTCAACCCCACGCCCGCGGACCAACTCCGGCATGCCAAAAGAACATTACTAAAACAAATAAATCATTTTCCGGCCAATATTATCAGTATTTAACATGACCACTTACATTGTTAACATGACCACCTACATTGTTAACACGAGTCAGGCTATAGTCTGATTGTAGCTCACTATATAGTGACTTAGAACTACGGTCAGCAACCCATCGGTCATGTTTGGATGTGAATTTTTTGTTTTAAATGGTCACTGGGTCGTATCTAGATTTTCAAAAAAAAAATATAATTGTCTGGTAAAGTGTGACAAACATAAACAAATCAAAATATAGTTGAAAACCACAAAATATGATAAAAATCAAAATACATATTCCTGTGAAAATACAAACAAAACAGACCACATTAATCCCAGCCAACGAATAGACCCACATTTTTTAAATAATGCTCCAATAACTCTCCGTTAGCTAAGAGTTTTGCTTAACAAGTTAATTCTAAGAAATGTCCCCACCAACCTTTCAACCACCAGATAATTTCATAAATCAAGAATATAGCCCCCATAGCTAAAAAATGATGTAATACAGTAACATAGAGTTCTGTGTTAAAATAACGAAATAACGTTGCTGCGACCTTATGTTAACCCAATGATTGGGTAACTTTTGAACAATACTTTTCTGTAATGGTTGCTTTAAATTGTTTAGTTTATATTTTGCATGCCTGATAAATAGAAACGATTCAATTCAGCCAATTAAATCCAAAAAAAAAAAACACTTTTTGCCAACCCCAATTAAGGAAACACATTCGGGATCAAAAATTTTACGCCTTATCAATAACCACTTACAGCTACAGGGAAAACAAACAACATTATTGTTTAGTGAGTCATTTTATTTAAAATGTTGAAATTTATCATGAATAATGCATGTCTTGTACTTAATAAAATAAATATCAAACTTATAAACATAGAACAAACTTTGATTGATTTTATTATTGACTGATACATCATAGTTTTTCACTTGTCCCCGGACAAGCACCTTTCAAAAATGCACTTGTCCTGAAGACAATTGTACTTGTCCTAATATTATTGCGCAATAATTATAAAAAATAACACAAAAGTAAGTATTTATGCTATGGCCCTACAACATTAATAGGCCATGCATATGGCATTGATCACGCAAAAATGTTTTTCTTTTTTTAATCCAATTATATTTCTTTTTTTAATTTGATAGAATTTCAATAATGTATGATATGGAGAAATTCAAATAAAATAAACATTATTAATAATATTCTATGTATGTAGTAGTGTGTTGATCGTTTTCTTATTGCGTGTTTAAAAGCCGTCATCTTGACAACTGCAAGTAAAAATTTCTCCGGCATGGTTGATTCCCACGATACATGAGTTCTCAGCCACAGGCTGACAGGACTGTGTTTTATGACGTTATTTGGAGAAGGGGGAGGGGGTGGCCATATCGTATGTTTGTACCAGTTTGCAGTATCTTAATCAATGAATACTAACTTCAAAATGTATTTCTTTTTGTGGAGGGCACAAACAAAATTCAAATTGCACGGGAAAATCCTTAAAAAATAGATGCGCAGAATCATATATACTTGTGTTCCCACTATAAAAGCCTCAATTTTCTGCAAAAATATCCGTTGAAATCGGCTCATATTTTTGAATTGCGGCGACGGATTTCTGGGCCCAATATTTTACGCTGGGAATATTTTACAGCTCTTCACACATCCTGATTTTATTTATTTCAAAATAAATAAAATTGCTTACCTCTCAACGAAAGAAAAGCACTCTAGGCCTAACATAACTCTGAGGATGGGCCGAGGGGACGAATCCCTTCCTGAGAATCTCCGAGACAGCAGAATTTTTGAGATGGGAAAATGATTCATTTGGCCCTAGACCCTCAATTTTTAACTATAGTTTTACAAGATTAAGATTTTATATACACATTATCTCCATCACTTGAATGATTTTTAATTACTTTAACAACTTTAAATCCCAATTTAACTACCTTTTCTTAAGCTGTTAGATTGCCTTCCCCACACGCGCAAACAAAGTTTTTGAAGTCGGCCTAATGGCTGCTGTTCGTATTCGTACTCGAAAGTAATTACTAGTCTTGAAGTCCAGACATGTCATGTCGTCTAACTCAACTAATCAACTAATGGCTGTGTGCGCAAAGTCTTTAAATATGTCTGGTATTTCTAGACCAGTGCGAATTTATATTGTAAACAGACCGTGTGCAGCAGGCCTACTAGACGGCTGACAGCTAACAGGTATGATATCGTGCGAAAATATATGCCTGCTGTGGGTCTTACGACAGATCTAGAACATTTAACAATTAAGAATTCATTTTCAATCTCTACTGCAGAAAATAAAAAAATTAATATTGAGTTAGGCCTACATTTTTTCTTTTGAACCGTCCCTTAATCACGAGAGTGTTGGCAACTCAAAGTTAATTCACGCAGTGCGTGCATAACCATGGCCTAGTCGGTTTTTTATGTTTGATATCTCTTTGTGCGCCGACAATTTGTTAATAAAATATGCTGCGTATTGTCAATAGTCAGACTTTTTATAAATACTGTGAAATCATTACATATTACTTGGTTAAGTAGCCTGTTCTAAAAGTGCTTGTCCACAAGCAAGTGGTCCCTAAAATTCTTGTTGTCCGACCGTAAAAAACACTTGTCCCGGGCGTCGGGCAAGTGGGTTCGCTCATGCTTGTTTCCTCAAAACATTGATCACCCCATATCATCCTAACCAGTCGTCATTTCTGAATCATTTGAGCATAAACTTCAGGTCAAGGTTGAATGTCATGTACCTTAATTTTCCGTTCGCGCATTTTAGCGTGCGCGTACGCATTCGTCAAAATTTATATACGCTTTCACAGTGTCATTCATTTTTCACTTTGGTGATGTCATCATGGTCAAAATGAATGTTTTTTCTGACTCCTCCCCCACCTCTTTCTTTCTTCAGTTTTTTTCAGAACCCCAAAGAGAGTGCGGCAGACTTGATATTCTCTTGCACTGTTTGAAAATTTTGGCTATGGTACTTTCCCATAATTCATACTTTTAAGCGCCGAGAGATTTCTTTTGCCTGACAAGCGAATCACCAAACTCGTCCTCAGTGATGAGTTCAAATATAGTTATTATTATTATTATTATTATTGTTACTGTTATTGTTATGTTACTAAAACCTACTTTAATGGAGAAATTAGAGAACAATTAAAAAAACGGGGCCAGGGCGCTGATCCGAAGGGTCTTTAGTCCGAAGGTATGTTGGTCCAAAGTAAATATATATCAAATATAGAGAAATTTGATTAAAAAAAAAAAAACACATATTGGGGACTGCCAGTGCATACAATTATTGCTTGTTGAATGAAAACACGAGCATATATATGGAGAAAAACATAGGCCTAGATTACATAATATATAATTTTAAACATTGGTCATATAAAAGAGAAGGATCTTACTTTAAATACGCAATGTATCATGTAAAGTAAAGAATCACTCAAGAAAGCAGATAAAAAATGCATTCATGTTTTCGATTGCCAATACGTCTCTAAATTATAGGCAACTAAAGAGACAATTTGACACATAGCTATGGACATTATTCCCCCCCCCCCCATTTTAATGTTTATAGCATTTTTTTAAAATTTTTAAAAATACTTCTAAAACATAAAATCTTTTAATGCATTTTGTCTTTTTTTTGTGGTGCTTTTCATAGGCATTTTTTAAAAACCATTTTTAGTGTTGTACGGTACATTCATGTTTTTTAATTGGTTTTATGTAGGACCCCCCCCCCCACCTTTTTTTTTTAAATTTACGGGCCATCCTTCATCATCTTTTTAACGTCCACTTTGACTGCCCATATAAAACATATGTAGCTACTATTAATGCCCACCTTTAATCGGCTGGTCCTGTTCAGCTTGTTACTGAATCCACACATGATGCTGGACACATTTTAGATCCTCTTATTGTAAATCCTCAATTTGTAAATCGACCAAGGACCATATACGTAACTTATGGAGGATTCGCAAATTTATTGACTATGACACCTGCCATGCAGCAGTTCGTGCACTTGTTTTATCTAGAATTGATTACTGCAATTCATTGTACTCTGAGTTGACTGTAACAGATTCTCTAAAATTACAGAAGTTGCAGAATTCTGCTGCATGTCTAACTTTCAACATCCGATCCTCTCATACTCACACATCACATCTTCTCCGTGAACTTCACTGGCTGCCTTTTAGGTAAGGCTTTATTTAAAATTAATGGTCCTTGCTTTCAAGTCACTGTCTGACCTATGCCCGCAATATATCTCAGACTTTTTACTTGTACGTAAAAAGCAAATTCGTACCAGATCAGCTTTGAATGTTGATTTCCATTAACCTATCTTTAACAAGCGTATTGGTAACAAATCTTTTCCATGCGAGGCCCCACTCATCTGGAATAACCTTCCAGTGCACATTCGATCTTCACCATCTGTGGCTGTCTTTAGGTCTAACTTAAAGACTCACCTCTTTAACTAATTATCCCATTTTTATTCTTATTTCATTTATTGTTGCATTATTTATTTATGATTCCAAACTTTGCCACTGCTTCTTTTGATTTGTTTATGTTCTGTGCTTGGGTTAGGCAATGATCACGGCTGCTTGTGTGTTGTGAGGTGCCTGAATATGTGGGGTACAGCGCTTCGTATCTGCAAAGAAAGGCGCTTTACAAATGTTGTGATTGGGTTGGGTTGGATTGGATTGGATTTTGTTGTTATGTGTTTGTCCTGCCTTGTGCAAATTCTATTCATTTTGTAAATAGTTTGATGATGTCAAATAATAAACTTGAACTTGAACATGATAAATGCCAAAATTGGTCTGCTCTTACAATCGTGCGAAAAAAACTTCTGACAACATACCTCTTTGAGTTGAAAAGATTCCTCTGAATATCATCAATTAAATAAAATTTAATTGAATTAAGTTAATGTTATGCACCTTAACATAGAAGGAAGAGAATACACAAACCCACACAACTTCCATAATACTGCTACAAGGCAGTGATCACCACCCATGCATATAAGGTTGACTTTTTTTTTTTATATATATACTCACGTCACGTCCAAGATTTGATTTTTTAAATTTTTTTTTTTTTTTATAATGAGGGGCTTTACTATTTGCTAATTTCTTTTAAGTAAAAACTGGCGGCGAATACACAATTTTAAAATGAATAACTTACATTCCTAAAAAAACCAGGTCACTAAAATTCGGATCTTCGGACCAATGACCCTTCGGACCAAGGGGCCTTTGGACTAAACACCCTTCGGACCAAAGGTACGCACCCAAAAAACAATGTTAAGGGGAAAATAACACAAAAGACATTAAGAGAAATTATTATTATTATTATTCTAGCACTGGTTCTATCATTTATCTATCAATTCCAATTTATCACAGACACTTGAATACATACCTTGAAAATGGCTCTGCTGTGGACACTGGTCTAGATGGCAACACATCCTGACCTTCAACTATGACCTCTGAAAAAAATAATAATTACATGAAAGGTAAGTAATCAATATCTATTATGACCTACACATTCCATAACAAAATTGTTACATGTGCATAAAAAGAAACATAAAACATTTCGGTCCCAACATTTCATTGCATATCACTGAATTAAATGAAGTGTTGAAAGGCTTTTTACTCACAGTTCTAAAATCTATTGACATAATAATACTGTAGATAGTGTACAAGTTACAATCTGATCAAACAAATATTTGTAATTAAAATTTTATAATTAAATACACGGCTATGACTTTGAACAGACAAGGCAAGATGGTGTTTTAAAAGAACTAATATTGAAATTGTGCTTGGCTTATTGTGTGGGGGCGTAGACACTATGTCATGATGTAGCAATTAAAGATGGCGGAAAAGGGTAAATCCAGTTTAGGCATGATGGGTACTACTACCACGAGGTAGGGGGCGCTCTATTGACAATCGAATAGCGTTTGGAACTCAAAAAATAACTAGATTCGGAATTCGTCATAGACTAATTCGGTGATACGCTGGGAATGATGATAGTAATTTTGATACCTGTTCGCTGTAACGATACAAATTTTCCCTTCATATGTACTATATAATCAGTCTGATAGCGTCGAAATAGTCTGCCGCCCTCTGTTGGTCTGTCCAATATATTATTTCTCAATAATTTAAGGTGAAGAGGTCCAAAAATCATTCATTTTGACCATAATGATGTCATCAAAATGAAAATGAAGGACATGATTCCAAAAGAGAATTGTCTCAGCTATAACTTACTCGGACGATGAGAAACGATTGACTAACAATAAGAAAGATACGCTTAAATAAATATGTTAATAAATGAGGAAATTAAAAGAAAAGTTTTTTTTAATTCAGATAGCAAAATGATGACGTCACAATTTCCGATCAGCCATTAGGATCTAGAAAATCATATCTACAACTCATGTGCTTTCAGAATATGTAATACAAAATGGGTGTTACCGATCATTCGAAGGAGCTATAACTGATTGAAAATATGTATGATTTTGAGCACTTAAATTTCGACGCACACGTATGCGCATGTTATAATGCGCACACGGAAAATTTGCGCGCATTACATTCATACTTGAATATGATTTAGAAATGTCAAATATTTAAACATGCTCTAAATTAGTCAAAAAGTGATTATGTGACTGAAACCGGGACCCCCATCTGTAAAATACTGGCTTCAATATTCTCACATCTCTAATATTAGTATTATAAATACATTGTGGAAACATTCCACAAGTACTCCTTTAGGCAAAATTTCAAACCAAATGTACTTAATGACAGACCACCTCCCACCCCCTTTTCAGTGTTCACATATTTAATATATACTGTATTAGGAATTTAAAAAAAAAAATCTCAGAAATTATATTTTTTCTATTTTTATTAAATCTTATCTCTTTGGATGTTGTCAAGTGCGATCACGCTAGTCCAATAAAGTGAAAGAGTGTGGCATCATCGTAGCCACTGTTATGAAGAGCCTCAAGTAGGCCTATGAATTTTCTGTTTATCACTTAGTGACACTACACTTTGACGAACGTTTGCATGTCTTTGAATGAAAGGAATAATTACTCAGCAAATAATCATTACAGCAACATTTGGTAAACATTGAATTTGTCTAAAAGTAATTTTAAAACAGTCAAATGAATTGCATACACATCCCGAAAATTTTTTTTTGTTCTAACTCATAGGCCGAACTGCCGTACTATATTGCTATTAGCGTTAATCGGGCAACGGACAAAAGCTATAGCCGCGTAATGAAGCTTTCACTTTCTTGACCTAGCGCCGCGGCCCTCAAACATTGCAACATCCAAATAGATAAGAAAAATGATTTAAAAAATTGAATAAAAATAGGAAACATATAATTGCTTAGATTTTTATTTTTTTGTTGATTCTAATATGGTATGGTAATGGTTTTTTTATTTTGTATTTATCTAGCACATTTCATGATCAAAATCGTAAAAATAAATAATATGCCATAAGTGAATTTCATCCAAGCAGCTTTCATATTTTTGGCACACTGATTTCCAGAGCATTTGTGCTACAGTATTCTTGGCAAATCTTTGCCTACCAGGGTAGTGCACCACCAGCACTTCAGCCAGGCCCATGTAAACACCGATTCAGAGGGGGTCTATATTGATGCAAACTGATAATGAAATATCTTGTGGTTTCATATGGAATGCCAAAAGGGCTACTTTCAAACAAAGTTAATTTTCAAGGCACAGTCGGTTAACACACACAGTAGGTTTTCATTCAGCACAGTCAGTTTCTCAATGAGTTATACTGAAAACTTTGCTTTAGGTGTCTCTGACCAAAATATGTATTAAATCATGCTAATTTTAATTTTAGTGCAAACAAAAACATTTTCCAAGGAAAATGATGGAGAGAAATACAAGATAATTCCCCATACAAATTAACATTTCTGCTGTTTCATATTTTAGTGGTTTCTAAATATTTTTATGTTATGCAAAAATCATATGAAACTGCTTTCAAACCATGAACCTAAATGCAATGCCAATTGTCTAAATCCATAAAGCATGCTTTGAAAATCTTAAACATGATCTCCACTGCATTTCTGACAATATGTATCTCGAAATAACTGAACGAGATAACATGCAACCTATCTGCTTTTAGTTGTCATATTTTTTTCTTTTTATCGAAGCTAATTGCGACGACATTTACATACTAGAGGGTAAGCGAGTGGAGCGAGCGCACCATCTTGTTTATTTCCAATACAGTAGCATCACACAGTTGTAGTATTAGTGGTGCAGTAGATCACACTGGTAACAATGAATTGCAAGATTAAAACCATAGCAGCATACAATCAACCACTTGATTACTGGAATCGATCAGAAAATTAATAATAATTATACAGTACTTACATTTTTGTAACGCTTTTATCTAAGTATCGGAGCGCTTTTCCATTATCACGTCTTTTGTACGATGCATATGGGGGAAATTCCATAGCTTAATACATGTAATCTGCACATTTTGCACTTGAATCTCCCATTTAATAGGTAGAAAAGCACAACATGGATAAGTGCCTACCCCAAGGACACAAGCAAATGTTTCAAGATCAATTTACTTTATACCTACTTGTTCATGGGCACAGGTACCGGTATCTTGCTGTAAGATAATGTGTACTCTGGCTGTACAGTGCTCTTTCGTTAAAACCTGGTTCAATTAGTACTGTATGCAGTTCATTTCAACAATTTTCAGGCATCTTCTTGACTTATGAAATTACATTACATTGTTTAAAATTGAGGAGCACCAACCTCCCCCAACTTCCCCCACCCATGATATTGGATCATGGTATTATCAAATATTTTTGTTCTTTTAGTGGTATGCCCTGAAGATTACGGAGTTAATTTGTATCATGATATCTTTAGATGGGAACATCTGGATTTCACAAAAATACTGTCTCGCTTTGTATCGAGCAATTTTCTAATTCTCGACTTAATAGCTTGATTGCACACATTTTATCTTTTTAGGTCATGGATATCAAATACAAATTAATACTTCAATTACAATTATTGCTTTGCGAATAACCACATTATTGTGAAAAATATGTATCAAAGTACAGCATTAATGAAAAGTTAATCATTTGAACAAAGTACCAGGTAATTGTAGATGTTATTTGATCCTTTACTTCATTAACATTTTTCTGGCAAATCAAATTCTGATAATTCTGATAGCCTGTGATGAGACACTATACAGTACAATGGCGCTAATACTGAGACCTGCAGTAAACAGGACCCAGAACTCTAGTCTGTTTTTCTGAACACAATTTATTAAAAATTAACATTGGTTGAACCATGGAGGTATAAAAATAGGAATACAGTATACTGTATACAGTGTTTGTATACCTAAGATATTAATCACAGTTCATGTAGAAAGCAGTAGCGTTGTCTACCTCAAAAGAATATTATTGTATGAGTGCTTTTAACCATTATTATGCACTGATATGAATGCCTCAATGGATAAATGAGGTGCTATAATTTTAATTTTAAAGTGCATATTGCCCAGTGCCTGTATGTGGTTTACACCCAGGAAGTCACATGATTAAAACTGACCTGAAAAAAAATGTGCGCATTGCTGCTTGTTTTGAAACCCTTTGTCAAAAAAGTTTTAAAATGTATTTAATTCATAAAAACATAATTTTTTTAAATAATAATGGTATTCATGCTGACGATTCACACAGTTCAAACAACAGCTAATTTGCATAAAGATAACACTGATGGTCTATGTAACACACTGCAATGCAGAGGTACTAGGTAAATCATCGCATTTGCTGATCCGTTATGCGAAGTTACTAACTCCGTTTACACGGCCACTTAACACCCATATCAACTGATAAACACTATCATCATGGTTACATTATCTCCTGCCGTGTAAACAAGGCTATTATTCTGACATTATTAAGTAAGAAATCAAATAATATTTAAATTAAACAGGTTGACTGGCTTGAACTACCAATACACTACTGCAATTGTACATAGAATGTATACATAAAACAGCCAGATGACCTAAAAGTTCAACTTGGTATTTATTATTTGGGAAAAAAAAAGAAAAATGAACATTCAGAGAGGAATCATGATTAATGTAATCACCCTAGATACTTTGCAGTAACAAGCATGTTGTAATCCTCTTCGATAGCTTAAGGACCGCTACAGTAATGAACAAAATCTGTTGACTCTATCCTATATTAAACCAGAGCTTTCCTTAGGCTAGAATGACTCATGGATAAGAACATTCTTCTAGTCTTTCTTGCCTTGCAGTCTCAACAAAAAATGACAGTGCTTTTCAATGGTTTAGTATTGTGATGAATAACAGAACAGACAGGCTGCAAATGTATATATTTTATAATTGGGTGTAAACCACATGCAGGTACTAGGCAATATGCACTTTAAAATTAAAATTATGGCACCTCATTTATCCATTGAGGCATTCATATCAGTGCCTAATAATGGTTAAA